GAGAGAGAGAGAGAGAGAGAGAGCGCGCGCGCGCACGTATGCACACACAAGTGGGGGAGGGGCAGAGAGAGAGGGAGACATAGAATCTGAAGCAGGCTCCAGACTCCAAACTGTCAGCACAGAGTCTGATGCAGCGGCTCGAACTCACAGTCTACGAGATCATGACCCGAACCAAAGTTGGATGCTCAACCGACGGGAGCCACCCTGGCACCCCGACAACTTTTTTGAAATAAAATTACAAGCAGTTTATTAAAGAACAATACACTACATTTTAATATAATACTACATGAATAATTTTTAAAAATACAAATTTGCTTACTACTTACAGGAAATGGCTCCAATCCCTCCTGAATCACAAAGCCTTCGATAACATGCGTTAAAATCTGTGGTTTAACAATAGCCTGTGGAGGTTTGTTTTCTATACTGGGAATGCTGCTGGGTACAGAAGTACTATTACTCCTTGTGGTAGCAGCTGGAAGTAAGAGTGGAGGTGGAGGAACAGAAACATGTGAAGGATCTGATGGAGATTTAATTACTGAAGCACTGACTGATGCCACAGCAGGTAATTCCACTTGCTCTGAAAAAGAAAAGTCAGTTTTTATCTTTATCATTCTGTGCAGGCAAATATGAAAAAAATTCAAGAATAAACATTAACAGCAACAATAGTTAAGATCTAGTGCTTTAAAACACCATCCTAAGAACTTTATATTTAATCTCATTTAATCTTATGAGATAGAAGCCACTATTATCCCCACTTTACAGAAGGGGATAACTTGCTAAAAGTTATCATTCCAACCTTGGTTACAGGTTACATTCCAACCTTGCCCCATAAGACACAAAAATATTTTAGAATGTCAATTTAAGAATATGAAAATTGTTGCTTTTTAAAAATTTTTTAAGCTAAACAGATATTAAATTCCCTGTGTTCCTGTTTATATATTCCAGATGGCATGGCGGGGGGGGGGGGGGGGGAGGTTGGTGGGGAGTACTCTGAAAGTACACTTAAATAAAAAAGGATCATAAAATCCATAGAGATTTTTAAAGGATTACACAGCATTCATCACCTTTATTTCAAGCAGTAAGGCTAATCCAATCCATGTACATTTTTTTTAATACCTCTTCAGTGGCAATGTGTATGTCAGTTTGGAGAAACACTTTAGTACCAGGCAATTGCAAAACATTGGGCTGGATCACTGTGATTCCTCCCCTTCAAACTCTGATGACCACATTTAGATAGACCCCACAGCCTATGATAGAGACTTTACCTAGCCGTACAATAGCACCAAACTGTATGAAAGCCGTGCGATAGCACCAAACTTTACTGACTGTATGAAATAGAAAGAACCAGCTGAAAACTAAAAATATCAGTGACTAGAGATGTCTGAGAAAAATAACAAAAAAAAAGAGCACATGTGTAAAGATAATAGTATGATTTACTGAGCACTTACATGCCAGGTACTGTGCAAATGCCTCACAGGTTGTAACTCAATTAATCCTGAAAACTAGCCCAAGGGAAACAGGAAGATAAAGAAACTTGGTCAAGGACACACAACTAATTAAGTAATGGAGCTGGTGGGATACTAACCTAGGGAATCAGTTCTTGAGACAATGCTCTTATAATTGCTGTGGTAACTCCTCTCCATCATCAGTATGAAAAGGGTTGACACCACTATCAAAAATGCTCAAAATATAGCCCAGTTAGGTAGAGAAGAAATAGGAATCCCTAAAGAATAAAATTTTCAGCTAACAATACAGTGTAGCGATCATCTGTATAATCTCAGAAATGGAAAAGCTAACAATTCACACTCAAGAACACGAATGTGATTAACATCATATATCTGATCACAGCACTGTTATTATAAGCCATTTATTAACCTAGTTCCACCAAATAATCCACCAAGATAAACTGTACTGGAAAACCTGTTAAAAATTACACAATCCTTGGGGCGCCCGGGTGGCTCTGTCAGTTAGGTGTCTGATTTCATCTCACGGTCCATGAGTTTGAGCCCTGCATCAGGCTCTGTGCTGACAGCTCAGAGCCTGGAGCCTGCCTCCAGACTGTGTCTCCCCTTCTCTCTGCCCCTCTCCCACTCTCGCTCAGTCTCTCAAAAATAAATTTTATAAAGATTTAAAGAAATTTTTAAATTACACAATCCTTTATTAAAAACTAAACAAGAAAGTCAACAGAAAAATGCTAGTTTATTGATTTCACGGAACACATGCAGTGTTACTGTATGCATGCATTACGAAACTGAGGAACTCTAGAAAAATTCTAACCCACATTACCAAATCTTCACATTTACTCATAGAGTAAAAGGAAATTAAATTATAAAATTATAAAGTGGGATTGAAAGCCATGTTTTATGTTTGAAAGAAAATATAAATCTATGGGGGTACTGAAAAATAAGATAAAATATTAATGTCCCTTACAGATTTATAGATATTTTGTTACTTTAGAAATATAAAGCTGCATTAAGTGTAATTTGGCTTATTCAGAAAATATTGCTTGGTGTATGTTCCAATTGATTTTTAGATCATACATACAAATGTGCCAATCTTACACAGAGTCCTAAATGTTGTTAAAAATAGAGCTGTAAGTTACTGACTTTTTGAAGAGGCTAATAGCTATTACTTGCCAGTATATATAATCAGCTGTTAAAAATAAAAACAGGTGAGAAACACTGATGTTATGAAAGTAGAAAAATTATTACATTCTCTAGATTTAAGATAACTACAAGAGAAAACACAAGTAATAGGACTTTGCCACAAGGTACTCTACTTATTCAAAGTCTCATTTTCTGAACAAGATCTGTGAGCTTTTTTTTTTTTTTTAAATTTTTTTTTTTCAACATTTATTTATTTTTGGGACAGAGAGAGACAGAGCATGAACGGGGAAGGGGCAGAGAGAGAGGGAGACACAGAATCGGAAACATGCTCCAGGCTCCGAGCCATCAGCCCAGAGCCCGACGCGGGGCTCGAACTCACGGACCGCGAGATCGTGACCTGGCTGAAGTCGGACGCTCAACCGACTGCGCCACCCAGGCGCCCCTCTGTGAGCTTTTTTAAAAATTTTTTTTAATCTTTATTTTTGACAGAGAGAGACAAAAACAGAGTGCCAGCAGGGGACGAACAGAGAGAGAGGAAGACACAGAATCCGAAGCAGGCTCCTGTCTCTGAGCTGTCAGCAGAGCCTGACGTGGGGCTTGAACTCACAAACTGAGAGATCATGACCTGAGCTGAAGTCGGACGCTTGACCGACTGAGCCACCCAGGAACCCCCATGAGCTTTTTTTTTAACAGATGCTTTTTACTTGTATGGAATTTTTAGAGATTTACAAAAACTAAATACTGGATGGGAACAAATCCCTCTGTTTTTGCAGGTTTGCTTATTTTATGATTTGCTGAGAACTATTCTAAAAAATCAACTTGTGCTTGCTCTGCCCCTTCATAGACACTACAGAAGAGTAGTAGGTATGAAGTAAATGAGAAGAAGATTCTCTACACTGTACCTAGACAATTTAGCCTGAGAGATACACGTGACAGAATCCTGAACTGTGTTCCTGAGGGAAAAAATGTGAAGCTGTGTTTGTGTTCCAGTATTTCAAGTGCTTAAACTTTCTTTGTGTTGCCATGAGTAATGCTTTTTTTTTTTTTTAATTTTTTTTTTCAACGTTTTTATTTATTTGTGGGACAGAGAGAGACAGAGCATGAACGGGGGAGGGGCAGAGAGAGAGGGAGACACAGAATCGGAAACAGGCTCCAGGCTCTGAGCCATCAGCCCAGAGCCTGACGCGGGGCTCGAACCCACGGACCGCGAGATCGTGACCTGGCTGAAGTCGGATGCTTAACCGGCTGCGCCACCCAGGCGCCCCCATGAGTAATGCTTTTAAGGTAATTCAGTCACAGTCACAATGCAAGGTTAGTATCCAATTAAACTTTTATTTCTGTCTTTAAATCAAACTCCAGGAAATCTGCAGCAAAATTAAATCCATTTTCAGTGTACAGAAACTACAAAGATTTAATACTATAGTTAGATTTTCCTAAATCTAGTTTTTGTGGTATTACTTTGAGTAAACAAAGGCAATATTAAACTTGTCTTAAATATTTTATCTAATTTTACTGACTAAACATTTTCTGTTTTTCAGGAGGGAGAAAATGTTGGAAGAAAACTGATTTCTCCCTTTTTGTGCCTTCCAGAGATTCTCACGGATAGTAAGGGAATAAGGGTTAGAGTTGTGGCACAACTGAAACAAAGGGATGGCGAGAGTAGCTTTGGTAGCAAAGTCAGTGTCCTGTTACAATCTGTGTCTGTACCTGTGACAGGGGTTCTTATTTACTGTAAATAATCACGAGAGTCATAAGATATTCAAGAGGACTGAATACTTACAAGGAAGACTGAATCAAGATGACTATTATCTGGATCAAGCTTTCTGTAAAGAACCATATGGGCTCTACAACTACTCCTCTTTGCCACAAGAATACGAAAGTAAACATAGACAATATTTGAATAAATGAACGTAGCTGTTTTGTATAGAATTTTATTTATGGACAATGAAATTTCAATTCTGCATAATTTCACATGGCATGAAATATTACTCTTCTTTTGATCTTCCTCTACCACTTAGAACTTTTAAAACTATCCTCAGCTCATGGGACATGCAAAAATAGACAGCAGAAAAGATTTAAAGCATGAACTGTAGTTTGCCAACCCTGATCTAAATTAAATATTCATAGTTTTTAAAAATCTAACATGGGGGCACCTGGCTGGCTCAGTGGGCAGAGCATGCAGCTCTTGATTTCAGGGTCATGAGTGTGAGCCCCATGTTGGAAGCAGAGTTTACTTTAAAAATGTCCTTTTAAAAAGAGGGAAAAAAAGAAAAGCTTTTATTAAATACATACACAGATAAATTAATTAAAATCTAACATGGGATGTATTTTTTAAAGATCTAGACAGAGGGCTATATGAGTTTTATTTTAGTAAATGTTCTAGTTTTAGTAAATGTTTTATATAATGTTTTGTAAAATGTTTTAAGTAAAATACCTAGGATTCACAGTCACGTTAGTATCGTGAGGAGGAGCATACAGAAGATTTACTTGATTTCATGAGTAGCACTAAAGTAGTGAATAAAAATTTAAATGCTTAAGGACAACGATTTTTTTTAATCCATGTCTCTAGTAAAGAATTAGTGAGGCTTAATTTAAGAACTGTCTGGGAAAGAATATTTTTAAAAATATACTCAGCCTGGATCACAAGTAATTACGAGGAATGCCAGATATGACTCAGAATGTTTTGTGATTTCTGGAAAACATAAGTGAAATCTTTTTATAGAACTTTGATTTACCCTAATTTTTAAGCTTAGAAATAGCTTGACCAATGAACCTGATTGGGCATATAAAACATATCTGTAAAAACTACTAAAAATTAGAAGGCTAAAGTATGTTTTTCACTTGGGTGGCTCCTCATCAATTGTTTTGTTTCTCATGAAAAAAAAAAGAAACAAAAAGAAAATCTTGAATTCTATTATGTTTTGCTGTAATTAATTACATAAAAAACTAGTTTCATATCATTTCCAGTGAGGGCTCTATACTCACTTTATTACACTTCATTAATTTTACTTTACTCAACTTTATTACTAACATTTACCTAGCACAAAATTTCCCCAAATTTAGGTATTTCCTCACCTAACAAAGGATGTTCAGAAGTCAAATCTTCTCTCCCCACAGTTATAGCTGCTGGAGACAGTGTGGGTGGTGGTGGCGTTCTGTCCATCCGAACACATTCATCTGACTCTTCTGGCATTTCTTCTTCACACACATCTTCTACTTGATAAACCTACAATGACAAACCACACTGCCTTAAAAGGTTTCTAAAAATATATTTACTAAGGTGTTCCTAACTTAATTGAAAAAAATAAATAAATTCTAAGTGTTTTAAATTTTAAAAAGGCAAAACGACTATGGAAGCAGAGTTGAAACTATTTTAGTTTCTATTTAACAGGTTGAAAAGAAAACTTTGAAACAACTCAAATGAGGTTTTTCATAATGCTCGAAAATATTTCACTGAAAGTAAGTTGCGAATCAGTATCTAGGCTACAAATTACTAAAGTTTCCCAAAAGGTGACAGTCAAGTCAGGACATATTCTTAATTTTGAGAATTAAAAAAAAGTTTGATCTTATACACTCAATAACTAATTGGGGAATTTGCTATTGTTTCTATTAACTTCCAACTGTCATAAATAAAAATAAATGCTAGTACTTTTCACAAGCACACTAAGTAATTCTCCAAAATGACACATAATATATCAGGGACTGCGTAAAGGACTATACCCCAGGTTCTTCTTTATTATATTTATGTGAATTAAAGATTAAATTATGAAAAATAACATCTAAGAACATACAAAAAAGGTATGCAATTACATCTTTAATTCTTTAATCTTCTGACCTACGCAAGAATCTAATGAATTTTTATAAGCTAGTATCAGGTAAACAGAAAATACATGTCCTTGAATTAATACACACCCAAACCCACCACTCCTAAGCCATCTGACACATTATTTTTAGTTCTTCAATATTGTTTCATACTTACAAAGTTTTTAATTTTTTAACTTGACCTTTGTAATCCAATGCTAAAGAGTATACTTAAGAAAACATGGACTCAATCTGAGAAGGTACTATGTAACTAAAAGTAACTAATTTTTCATTAAATTTAAGGCTGTTTTCAAAGTCCACTTCTAGACTATTTTTGTCATCATTATTTAATCATTACTTTTAATTTTTTTTATTTAATGTTTATTTTTGAGAGAGCGTGAGAGACAGTGTGAGTCGGGGAAGGGGCAGAGAGAGGAACAGACAGAATCTGAAGCAGGCTCCAGGCTCCAGCAGTCAGCACAGGGCCCGACATGGGGCTCAAACCCACGAACTGTGAGATCATGACCTGAGCCGAAGTTGGAGGCTTAACCAACTAAGCCGCCCAGGCGACCCTATTTAATCATTATTTTTGAAAGATGATAGTCTACAAAAAAACAAAACCACAAAGCAGTTCCTTTTCCTAATATACAAAGCTTATTACTTAAATTTACAAAGGTCGTAAGTTTTTAAGATGACTTAAACTGATTAATAATTATAATAAACGTTAAAACAAAAAAACCTTTCAACAACATTCACAAAAAACTTGAGGTGATATCTAATACTATATGTATTTTTTATACTATATTTTAATCAAACTATTGAAAAAGCTTGGTGATTTGAAGTATATCTTGGTCAATATAAAAGTGATCAAGATGTCTGGGGCGCCTGGGTGGCGCAGTCGGTTAAGCGTCCG